GCAACTGCCTTTATTAATAGCTTTCCTAAACACCGTGGAACCAGCATGTCAATTCCAGGATGCACAGCAGTTTCATGGATCCAACCTTTCTTTTGTCGATGGTTTCCATTTTCGCGGAACCTTTATTAACAACTGCTTCGAATTCTTCGGAAGCTGCTTCGCTCCATCGACTCGATGCTCGCTCGTAGATACGGTGCCTCAAAACGATGATTGTGTCTGGTTGGTTTAGTTTCACCGCTGTATAACTTTTGCCCTGTAAAAAACTCAGCTATGTATTATTATGCAGTTCCTTGAGCATAATTTTTAAGTGAATAAGTGAGGGATCAGTTTTCGGCTATTTTAATGATTGGGGACCCACTGCACGACAATTGCGCGTTTTTATCATGATAATTTTGTAGTAGAAAAATGGTAGTCAAGAATTGCTTCAAATTTGATAAGAAAAAAGAAGTGGAAAAACGTACGCCATAAGGTTCAATCGCTATTTCGCAGCAAACTTCGCTCTTTGATGACATCAGGCATCCGGAACTCGACTGGTGTGCATGATAGGTCCGATAGCAAAGCACGCCTTTGGTACAGTTCCTAGTGTAAGTACCATTCTCAGAATGTCTTTGAAAATCAAGCACATGAATTAATTTCTATTAATATCAAAAATATTAAAAGCCTTGGGTATTTGCAGATGTCTTACTTTAATTTACAGGGATACTCCTATATGCTAGGCCCATTAGCTCCTGATTGCATACATCCAGTTAGTACCGACCTCCTGCTCGATGTACGTGCGCTACCTTTTTTGGTGCTAGTCTGAGTAGCTGTCTTCTTTCGTTAAAAAATTCCAAACTTTGGACTTCTGCGCGAAAATCTTCGATATTACTTGTAGCCTACTTGTTTCCTTGTGCCATTAACCTCCACCGCTTTTCTCCTTTCCGTTCTCCTCTTGGTCATCCCCCATTTTCGTCTTCCTGTGCTTTTAACAGTCGCTTCGTTTCATAATCACTAAAGATATTTATACGGTGCATCGAGCTTGCTTTTTGGATTTTTAGTATCAAGACTGGGGTCTTCATTTGCTGCTCAAAACAATACCTACATAAGGTTTCACTAATGAGGCTTGCGAAAATTGTCTGTTGAAGGCATACTGAGGGCGCGACACGCTAAATTCACAAAATTTTCCAGTTTTTTACCAAAAAAATATTATGGATGACAAAAGTTATATAGCGAACCAGTGCTTTCATGAGTTCTTCATTTCCTTCTTTCTTCCGTTCTCTCTGTTCCTTACCCTTCGCTTTATGAAAGAGTTGTTTAAAAAGTTTAGAAAATAGTTAAAAATTAAAATTCCCTCCGTATTCACTCTTGGTGAAAGGCGAAGGCATAGGAATTATTTCGAGGATAGCAATGCCAGCAGCAACCACATCCTGGCAAGACCGTCGATGAATCCCTGTTTTGAAAGCCGCTTAGAAGCAAGCTGATGAAAACGGTAACAGATCGATTTTCAAAGTATTCACTTGTATTTATAATCATCCATATTGCAGTACTGCTCAGCGCCGGCGCAATCGCAGATGCACGAAGTTGTAATCAGTGGAATGCCGAATTGATAGGATGCAGACACTGGAAACTGTTGCTCCATTCGCACATATTCAATGGTGTGAAGTTGCGCTGATGTTGCATCCTAAATTTTAGTTAATTTTTACGCATTTTTGAGCTGCAGCAGCGATGGAAAATTTATTGCTGCAAAGGAAATACTTCTCGATGCGTTACCGAAAAATTGAGGCAAAGCGTTTCTTTGAGGGTCAGGTCGACAACCGTTGCACTGGTTTCCAGGACCCGCTTTCCCGCATCGTCCATATTCGAAGTAGAACCTTGGATCGGCGTTATCCTGGTGCAGTGTACTTCGTTGCTCAGTGTGCCACACATCACATA